ATATACGAAAAAGGCCGGAATATCCACTTTCCGGTTCTTCTCTGTATCACCTGCGTCTTTTATTGTTGCAGCTTCCAATGAGATGTATCATAGAGATGCACTCGTTGCGCTCGAAATAGGAATTCAAATCTCAATTTTAGGTTTGTTCTTGAAAAAAATTTTTGATTAAAAATGGGATAAATTTAAGTGTTGAAAGCGAAGATGCTGAGTGCAACAGATGCAAAACGTGCAACAGATTTTCTGTCTCGCAATTACTTTGCGTTTATTAGATGCGAGACGCGATTCGACGAAACACGTTTGCGCATCTATCATGCGATCGGCCTAATTATCCAATAACTAGCCTCAACAATAGGTCTGTTCGCGTTGTTTGAAATCAAAATTTTTCAACTTAATAGGAGATAAATATGTATTTGAACGTTGAAAAGGGAGAAAGGAAAGATGCTAGATGCAAAAAGTGCAAGCAACGCGAACAGATCTGTTTCGTATTATAAATTATCGCAAATATCTCAGTTCGTATTATAAATTACCGTAAATATCGCATTTGCCGCTTCGGCTTTGAATGCTAGTCGACACGCCGCCGTGGCACCTTTTCGAACCAGCGACTTCGTGCGTTTTATAATCGTTCTCGAATAATTCCGAGTAGTGTGCATCCTTGACTCTTTTAACGTAATCCACGTTTGGTTTTAGTACCGGACGAAGATTTTTCACGTCTCCCAAATTATTCTTCCAGAAAGAGAAAGAAAGCGAGAGGAAAAATCGCTCTCAGGAGGTCTCCCACCGCGAGAAACATTTCCGTCAACAACTTAACATGTTCATGGTAAAAAGATTTCGTGAATTCTGAAAAACGAGCGGTTGCAATCGATGTCCTATTCCACGTTTACTATAGCCTCTTCTATCTGTCCGCTTTGATTTCGTCTCGTTAATAGAACATCGTGAACGCAGAGAATCGGGATGACTGCTGTAAGTGGAGTGGATCACATTGTTGCGACCTGTTCGAAAAAAGAAGAGTGTGAAATTCGAATGTCTGGATTACTACGATGCTTCTTTATTTTCAGACCGCCGTAAGAACCGTCGTACGCCGCTCGTTCTCCACGTCGAAATGGGCAACAGCACAGCAGGTGATTTACTCTGCCATTTAAAACTAACACAAAACAAAGAAACGGTTCTTTGGATATCACGGAAATTCCGCGAATATTTCCACGTTCATTGACAGTTCTTCCTTGCTCTCCCTTTGTCCTTCTCAATTCGACTTTTCTCTCGCGTACGATCATTCAAAGAAGTAGAAATCTGAAGGACATGAAAGGTCATTCATTATACCTCTCTCTGAATGAAAATTCCTGTGAATTTGCTAGATGACCGTGCGAGATGCTTTGAACTCGGCCTTGGATGAGGAAATGGAAAGGGATGAAAAGGTATTTCTTCTCGGCGAAGAAGTAGCTCTCTATGATGGCGCATACAAAGTTTCCCGAGGTCTCTGGAAGAAGTATGGAGACAAACGTGTCATTGACACGCCGATCACAGAGGCTGGTTTCACAGGCATCGCGGTTGGAGCAGCTATGGTATGTGTGAAATAATTTTTATTAAGCTTTATTCGTTATTATAACAAGCTAATCTTTGTTTTATTTATTGCGCTTTTATTAGTATATTCCTCTATTTGCATGTATATTTTATTTTTTAGGCCGGCCTGCGACCAGTCTGTGAATTCATGACGTTTAATTTTTCGATGCAAGCAATCGATCACATCATCAACTCTGCTGCCAAGACGTTCTACATGTCTGCAGGTAGAGTCAATGTGCCAATCGTGTTCCGCGGTCCCAATGGTGCTGCTGCAGGCGTAGGAGCTCAACATTCGCAGTGTTTTGGTGCCTGGTATAGTCATTGTCCCGGTTTAAAAGTAGTGTCACCCTATAACAGCGAAGATGCCAAGGGTTTGCTTAAAGCAGCCATTCGAGATCCTGATCCAGTGGTGGTGCTCGAGAATGAAATATTGTATGGTGTACAGTATCCTATGTCTGATGAAGCTTTATCCAAGGACTTTGTTTTACCCATTGGCAAGGCCAAAGTAGAACGAGCGGGCAATCATGTAACATTGGTAGCACACTCCAAAGCTGTCGAGGAGGCTCTGGAAGCGGCCAATGAACTTGCTGGAAAAGGAATCGAGGCCGAAGTGATTAATCTACGTTCTCTCAGACCATTAGACGTGGACACCATTATACAGTCTGTGGTGAAGACGAAACATTTGTTGACAGTTGAACAGGGTTGGCCACAGTGCGGTATCGGAGCGGAAGTCAGTGCAAGAATCGCCGAGAGTATGTTTCGTTTAATCTATATAATCAATAATCTATTTCATATTTTACACTTGTGTTGAATTTATATTTTAAATCAACTTTAGACAGTTTAAATTGAGATAAAATATTACCTTGATTTGGATAATATTTTTCGTAATAAGTTCTTTTTAGTGTTTTAAGATATTTATTAGTATAATTATTAAATTGATGATCAGTTTAATTTGTACAAAATCAGAAAAACGACTCAGATGATTACAAATCAAATAAAAGAGCTAAGAGCCAATTAAGTCCTTTTAAAATGAATTTCATGTACTTAAACAAATGTTTCAATTTTTGTATGAAGTAATTATCAATATTACAACTAGTAATTAGAAGCGATACAAAAATTAAAGTCACGTACAACTAAAAAATTAAAAAATAATAAAACACCAAAGTCGAAATCCAAATTCAATTCAGATCAAGGAATTAACAATATAACTTAGATGCGGTTGGATTTTCCGTCTATCACAATTTTCCGTTGTATCACGTCTAAACGCTTTAGACGGTATTCGATAACTTTAAGTATAACTTATAATTCAAAAACAATTAAAACCTCGACATTTTGGTATTAGAATTTTTGTCTCAAAATGATCTCAGGAATCAATCCTCAAACGTTGTTACGGTCTTTATCGAATACTATATAATTTAATTTGTTATTTCAGCTTCAGTTTATTTGCGTTCCTCTGGCAATAAGCATCACGCAGTTTATATAACTGAAAGATGTATTTAGAGTTTATATATAAATATTATTAAACAAGAAAGAGATCTAGCTTTGATTGTATTGGTTCTTTCTCAAGCTTTTTTTACTTATTTGAGTTATTCATGTAACAATCTAAATTAACATATAATTTAAATTAGAATTAAATTTTAAACACATTGCATACATAAAAGATTAGTAAATTGCGATTTCAAAGCTATATAATTTAAATTGATTCCTATCGATTTTTTATTTTAACTTATTTATTCTCAACAGTGTTGCTTAACGAAATTTTTTTTTTTCCAGGTGAAGCCTTTTATCATCTTGACGCACCTGTCATTCGCATCACGGGAGTCGACACGCCTATGCCATATGCGAAATCGCTGGAGATCGCGGCCTTGCCACAGATCAAAGACATAGTGAACGCCGTTAACAAATTGTTAGGAGTCACGCAGTAGTCTATTGTATACGCGTACTTAGGCGAAATTATTATATTTTTACGATTTTCCTGATACGCCAATTTTCCTATTCCCATCTGCCACACCTCTACAATACACAGTGTACCTCATCCAATACTGTGTTGATATTGTATAGAAGACTGGACATCTTATCATTGGACATTTGGGAGGATTCCGATAGCGCACATCGTTAATTGGCCAATTTAAAATAAAATATTTTCATTGGTAAAGCAATAAAAAATTACTAGCGGATGTGAGTGGATGTGTGCTTTCGCACTGTGCGCTAATGGGACCGTCTCCATCTTATAAGTTTTATTTGTATAACAATTCTTACAAGAAAGTATGTTTGGGTGTAAAGGAGATGTACACTGATTATAATGTATAAATGAGGTTTGAGCAAATGTGCTTCTTGAAACTAGCACGTAATATGTGCGATGTGTATTCTGTACATTGATATATGCGATATTAATAATGTTATTAGACAATGCGATAATAAATGTAAATATATATATAAGAAAGAATTAGTAAGAATAAGTCAAAATTTTAGTATATAAATAGTGCTATTTTATTTGAAACATCCAATTGTTATTATCATCAACGAATGTGCAATAATTGAAACATTCTAATTTATTTCATTAATATTCATATTGGATTTAAATAAATTGAAGTTAACTTTCAATTGAATATATATGATGGCCACATTCAGCAAAAGTCGGCGTTTAGTAAGCGTTTTGCGTAGATTATCCTCTTTGATCTAAAGGAATATATACATGCGGGAAAAGGAATATATATATATATATATATATATATAT